AAGATTCGAGAAACCCCTCCTTATCGAACCTCTACAACCCACAGTCAATCCGTTTGCCAAAAATCAGCTTTAAACGTCAAGCAGTTTAAGCATAATCGTGATTACTCAATGGTCATATTTTATGGAACACCCTGTATAAATTTTTAAAAATCTGAAAATATGTAAAACAACAAAATAAAATATACGTGTTTAAGAGTTTTTCCGGTTTTTCTAATATTTTTATAAAACTCACCGGAAAAAATATTCTAATATTTGAGGGGTGGTTTCGCCCCCTTAGAATTCGAGTTTCGAAAAATCCCTTCTTATCGACCCTCTACACCCTAAAGTCAATCTGTTTTCCAAAAATCAGCTTTTTACGTCAAGCGCTTTAAGCAGGATCGTGATTAATCAATGACCAGATTTTTCGAAACACCCTGTATACATTTTTAAAAAATCTTAAAATATGTAAAAAACAAAATAAAATATACGTGTTTAAGCGTTTTTTCGGAAACTTGGCCGTTTTTTAAATAAAAAATATTGTAATATTTGAGGGGTGGTTTCACCCTCTTGGAACGGGAATTTCGAAAAATCCCTTCTTATCGAACCTCTACACCCTAGAATCAACCTGTATGCCAAAATTGAGCTTCTTACGTTGAGTGTTTTGAGCAGGATCGTGATTAATCAGTATGTCAGTCACTTAAGGATTTTATATATTAGTATAGATTATACCGTATGATTGAAAAAAAAACGGCGTCCAGTTGGCTGGGAAATGAACATCAATGACATTTCCCATATAAATTTACATATAAAATATACATAGCCATCGCTGACGCCGTTTTTTCTCGATCATACGGTACTAGACAGTTAAAGCACGGCTAAAGACGTAAACGTAACGTTTGACATGTACGCTTGCGCAGTGAGAAATTCACTTGCGTTTACGGATACGTGATACGTATCTTTACGTGCCTTTACGTACGTACAAAATGCAAACGTATCGAGCAGAAGGAGTTTCGATTTTCACCCGAATGATGCCGAACGTACAAATTCACAAACAACTCGTTTCCACAACTGGCTAGTAATTAAGTTATTTCATAAATTTTGGGGCCAGTGTCACAGAACTGGGCCTATTTTATTACAATAAATTAGTATGAAAATATTAAGCATCATAATAAACTCATTTTGGAATCTATTTAATTAAATGCTAGTTCTTATAGCCAAAATCCATATAAGGATTCTAAAAGATGGAATCTAATAAATAATCATAAAGCTGTGTCTGTTTTCCAATATGTTTTTTTATTACGAAGAGCATTTTAAGTTGTAAGGACTACTTTCTGTAATAAAATAATTTCAATTTATAATTTTCTTCATTTTTCGATATTACTTTTATAAATTTAATGTGGAATCAATGGAATAATAGATATCCATTTTCAATTTTAAAATTAAATAAATTGTTTCACAAAATAATTTAGAATTACAAATGTACCATTTGCGTTACGTACGTCAAAATACTTGCTTTAACTCTTGTTTACACGACAACGCAACGGCAGACGTAACGTAAGTTTCTGCGTTACGTGTCGAGAGATACGTATACGTATTGTGCCTTGCTTTAACTGTCTACTATTAATTTAAAAAACGGTGCTCTTGTAATGATTATAGTCGAACGGATTATTGTTGATTTTGGGAGAATTTTAATCTGAGTGGTAATCTTCAAATTATACTTCAACAGTAATGTCTCTTCTTCGCTTTCTTCTTTCTCATCTTCTTGCGGAATATCTGGAAATCCGTCTATGTATTATTAAAAATCCTCATCTGTATTTAAGTCAATATTGGAGCAAGACTTGTAATATGTTATGGTCTTGAAATAAAACTATACTAGTTAGTAGTATTCCGTGTTACCAAATAACAATAAAAGGGAGTTACAACAATTAGAAAATGTGCAGATATATTCGTGCCTACGTGACCAACTAGTATCTAGCTACAGATGACTGTTTTGTGTCTATTGTCAACTAGAGAGCTACTGCACTTAAATGATAGGGACATGTCACCTCTTATCACACAAGACTGACCTTGACAATTAGTACATATTGGTGTACAAAACAATCCGTTTTTTTTACAACCATAGTTTGCGCTACAACTCTTTTTGCAATTGCAAAAGATTGTGTTATAAGTACCTAGTTTTTCTGGAGCAGGTGGAAGTAAAGTTTTAATCAGCTCCAAAGTATTATCTATAAATTTCCAACCCCAGTCTTCTGGGTTCAGTTGATTACCTAGCTACAATTGAACTTGATAGTATACACGATATAAGTGTTGACAGGCAGAAGCAGATTTTGGAGGAAGACAAGAAAGTTGTACCATTTTATTGTTCCGAGTATTTTTAACAAAACTTAAATATCTATAGGATCAATTTTTTTGGAGCACCATATATAGCAAGAAGCAAGCGAATTCTACTTGTGATGATGACTTGTGGAGAAGACTCAATCTTTTTGAATACGTCTGCGCAGACATTACTGATGAAGTATCATTTGAAGATTAAAATTCTCCTAAAATCAACAATAATCCGTTCGATTATAATCATTACCAAGAGCACCGTTTTTTAAAATTAATAGTATATTGTGTAATAAAACCACAATAGATCGTGGACTAGGCCTACAAGGGAAACCACGTTAAAAAAAACGCGCCAAGTACACTACCTCACAGGTGGTGCGGAAATGTTTGCATATTATGAAAAATATGAGTTTTTCAACTTTTGAAATCGCCATATCACGAATGGTGGTTCGTAAGAAAAAAGTATAAGAACCATATTATTGTAGAAAATTTAATGGTCTACAATATTTGTTTAAGGTACTTTTGCGATAGCGCTTACCGTTTAGGAGAAAAAAGCAAAAAAACATATTTTTGACTTTTGACCTTGAATATTTTTTTAGCAGACGTGGGAGGGGAGGGGATTTTTCAGATATCATTTATAATAGTGTATTTAAGACCTGTGCCAATTTTCAGCTCTATGCGAATTATTGGTATTTAACCCCCTTTTTTTGGTTTATTTTGACTGGGGTATTAATACTTTGGTCACTTATTGACATTAAACATTTTCAAATGTTGTTATTAGACTTGGCTTAAAGCAGATGAATAAAATAGCGTTTCTCTCATCAAGGAGGTCGAAATCGAAAAAATATCAAGAGACAAATTTAAATCGGCCTTAAATAGCCTACACAATTGTGCTAGTAACAGAAATATAAGTCAGTGGCGCTTAGAAAAATATTCCCATAACAAAACATATTCCCGTCTTTGGTGAATCTGTCGACACTTTTTAGCATTAAAATATGTAGCACTTATAGTAACTTTTAGCCCCAAAATGTCATTTGAATCGCTAAAGGCACTTGGAAGAAAATTATAATAAATCGAAAAAAGACTTTTAACCATTGATTAAAAGAATTGGGAAGATACGCAATCTAATGGGCAAATTCGTGACAAGGCTGATTTGATTTCCCCTTACGTCTCAAGTGCTGTACTGATGACGAAAAAAGTCGTTTAGTTGGCTTGGAAATGACGATTATTGACATTTACCATAATATTTTACATATATGAAATAACAGCGATCTTCATTTCCAAGCCAACTCTGACGCCGTTCTTTGTTTAATCATATAATATTTTATAAAAATTTTTAATGATAAAAGAAATCCATATTATTAACGTACTGTACCCAAAATCCGTAGATCTACAACACTGTAGCAATCTGGCAACACTGTCTCCGGCAACATGAGCGGCTAATTCACAAGATGCATTCCGATTTTGGAGAGTGTTAATTCATTAGTTATGATTTTTTCAGATAGACGTGAATTTAAGGTAATAGTCAGTTAATTTCAAATTCAAACACAAAATATAAAATAAACACCGAAATCGAAAATAAATAACAACCCTATTATAACCCTAACCTCAAAATATCTCGACCAATAGGAAATGGAATGCATGGAATGCATCTTGTGAATTACCCGCTCGTTCGGCAACCACTCACTCTGACAGAAACGACTGAAAGCAGAACTAGGGTACAGTTTTCTTTATCCGCTGCGCTGTAAACGACCATCAGCGCGCAGCGGCGCAAAGCAGCAGCTAAACTAAATCTCGGACAGGCTGACGTTAACATCTCGGACAGGTTTTGTGCATAAGGTTGCGCATCTTCTTATTTCTTCAATCAAGGCTTTAACCCCCTTTAGCTACGAAACAAAAGAGAATCCAGACCTATCTTAATTTGAAATAAATTATTAATTATTTAAATAAATCTTATTTTCACATTAGGAATCTCCCCGCGAGAGACGGCGCATTGAAACACTGTTTTTTATTACTCAAAGGATTACAGGATACATGCCAAAAGCGGTTGAAAAAGATCAGACTACTTATTAGGTAAAACGAGTCACAAAAACCATATACAGCATCGGTCAGAAAACAAACACGTAATATACCCACGAGTTTTGTCAGTTTTTAGTAGGTTTTTGGAGTAAATTCAACTACTCTCTACTATATGGAGTAAATTCGCTTTTCATGGTGTATGTCTAGGTCAACTGCTTTTAATATTATTTAGAAAAAATGACCAATATAAAATGGCCTTTCTTAAATATTTTCTTGCATATGTCTTGCATGCAGCGTTTTATTACTTAAAATAACTACCTCATTTTTTATATTACAATGCTCAGTGAAATAAGTAAATATAGAAGAGCTCTAATGCATAAATAATACTGGTTTGTAATCAATTGCATTTGTTTATATATTTGCATAACATGTCTGCTTGATTTCTAAAATTATCTTTTTCCGTTCCTAATGAAACTACAAATATTTGCATGTTTCCTTGATAAAATTGAACATTTCACTTTATATCAATAAAAAATATAGTAAATCAAGCATCAATCTGGGTAGTCTACTTCTTGGTATTACTTGCATTCTCTTTTCATGCCGAAAAAAACTGGTTAAAAAGAACTAGTTTAAATACAAAAACTAATAACTTTCATGGGAACTTCTTTAATTTGTAGAATGACGATAGTGAAGAGATTGAATTACTCGGCGCAAAATCATTGGGCTACAGTGATATTGTTAGGTTTTTTGATATCTCCTGTTCTACCAAAACAACAGACCATCTCCCAACAGAGTCAACAGCCCAAATCAAGACAGAAGAGGATATTGTGGTAAGAAATATAAATTTCTTTTTTTTTAGTAATAATGTTCACAAAATAATTGATCATTTTTGGAACGCCCTATATTTTTAAAATTAAAATAAGCTTTAACGACTGTTATGCCACCGTGTAGATTGTAGGTATATTCCTCTATTTTCAGGATAACTGAGGACGGGAGATTGGCACTTCCTCCAGGAACTACCATGGTGATTTCACCTTCAGTTTCCATGCCTTTTGTAAGACATCCACCAAAGGGTTTCTTCTCGAATCTCACAGTTAGTCTACCTTTTACAAGTTAGTTTTAGTCGGTTTATTCAATTACTTACTACGTTTATAGTATATTCTCCTTAATTATTGCTATTTTTTTTTAAATTTATAGTCGACTTTGATAAGCTTGGATTAACAGATAACGAAAACCCTTACGGAGCACTACCCCCTCTATTAGCTAGATCCATGGGTAGAGCTGCTGGGGGAATCCTAGCCAATTACATAGGAAGCATACTAGATAGAAGAGGTAAAAGGTAACTATTTTTTTTAAATATCAAAGACTTTTATGTATATTTTATACATATATTTATAATAATAGATCCACAGATAATCTTCCAAAAGAACTGTCATCAAAGGGTCATTTTCACGGTGGTGAGAGAGCTCTATTATACGTTGCCATAGAAGAATTATTAGAGAACTTCGGAATGGATGGTAGGGCCTGTCTGTTAAGGGCAATATGCGAAGTCCATGCACATCCAATGAGCGGATTTGGACTTCTAGGAGAAATGTTAAAGTTATTTTTAAGGTATTTATATTTACCGCCAATTTTTAATTTTTTTTTTAGAAAAGTTACCAATTAATAAATTCGCACTCGTACAGTACACTTAGTTACTCTTAAATACATCCTCTGCTACGGAAGTTGCTCTCCCTTTGTAGGCATAAACGAGCAATTATTTTAACACTTTTCTTTATATCTATTTTTTATTGTTGGTTGGTTAGGTTTGGTTTAGTTTGGTTTGATCCCAAATCCCTTACTACCTCTACACTCCATAGTAGTAACTAAGAAAATAATTTTGTTTTCCTTGATTAAATAATGCGGAGATAACATCATATCTTGCAATATTATATAAACAAGGGTTTTATTATCTTTCATAATTAAGGGTTTTATGCACTGGCTTTGCTAATTGGGACATAACTAGGGCTATCTGGGACGAAATTTGTCAAAAGGTACATAATTATAATTGCAGAACACGCCATTAATAACTTAAGCACTAGTTAAAATTATTAAAAAGAAGTATACTATTCATATTGATTAAATTATATTTTATTCTCATAGTAATTATGCCTTTTTAATTTTCTGCTTATGTAATAGGCACTTTGTTTACTCACTTATTTCGTGCTCACTGCTTGAATCCATTTTTGCTTCTGATCAAATCGGTGTCATAAAGCTGAGAAGTTGTAAAATGTTGTTGCGGGAGAGTTGTATTATTTATTATTTTGGCAATTTTATTATCATTAGAAATTGTCACAGCATAATGCGTGCCTAGTTCTGGTTCTTTTTCACTTAATCTTTACTACCTGAAACAGCGTTACATCCCTAGTTACATCAAACAAATTTCGTACCGGAGAATTTTATAGTTGGAATAACTGCACTAGTAAAAACTTAAATACGTGACAAAGCCACGATTTTAATATTGTTTCAATGCGATTATCATCAACGGTAACCGGGACTGCGTGAAATACAGAGCCGAAAAGTTTTAATTCCTGCCGTAACGAGCGCTGCTTTGAAATTTTAAAAATCAACTGAAATACACCAAGCTCATAGCATACATAGTATATTGTATACTAGTTAACGCATAAGCATGTACGAAAAATTCCACCTAGTCATCTGCAATCGTATGCAATTATTTACAATCATATGCAATCATTTACAGTCATTACGTAATGGCAATGCAATTCTTTAAAATCATATAATCGCGTCTCTATTGCCGAACATTACTGTTACACATTTTGAGAAGATATTATTAACCCCTCCAAATTACACATGTAGAGACTTAACATACATTTCGTTAAAGCTACAGTGTAGATTTAAAACACTGACGGTTCCAGTAATTTTTTCCGCTTATGGGAGATGTCCGCTTAAAGGATAGGACTAAGAAATAATATATGTAATATTATATTTAAAGCTATATTTCTTCTGTTTTCTTAAATACATTATGTGTTTTTAAAGCTTCAACTTATTAAAACCTCACCTCAAACCTTTGATATTTGAAAGTTACATACATAAGTTACATAAACTACACCCTCTACATAAACTACATTAACTACATGTAATGTAGTTTATGTAGTTTTTAAAAGTAACATGTAGTTTTCCGAACCCTGCCTATGACTCAATATGAGTTATATAATAGTAACAAGGAAAAAAAAGATAATATGATATAGTTTTTAAAGAATTTAATTTATATAAATGTTAAAGTTACGTATACATAAGCATAATATGTTAAAAATATACAAAGTATATAATATTTAAAATAAATATTATTTCGGTTTTTGAAAAAAGTCTAAAGTGTGTGTCTGGCGGAATCTCTCCATTTTTTGGAATATTTTGGCTTCTATGTTTCACAAACCACTCAAAACATTTTTTGTCTATAATAAAACCTTCTTTTTTCCGAAAATCTTTTTTTTAATTTGTATTAATTCCAGATTGCCATTTAGTTCTGATATCTTCCTTATATTTGGCTATTTCAGCAGCTTGCGTTTTTCCAATATTAAACCTTTTTGCTAAATTACGAACTGAAACTGTTTCTTTATCTAAAACATTAACAATTTCCATCTTTTCCTTTAAGGAAGCATTCTTTTTTTCGGTGCCATTTTAACTTTAACTTCACAAAATAACTACTATACCAATATAACAGCGCTGTCTGAACTAACGACAAAATATCAATACAAACGCGATGCATACTAGATAGATGAATAACCTAATATAAAATGGGGAATTACCGACTATAATGTATGCGGACATGAAAAATTGTCCGGTTATTAGAGTTCCACGTCCGCTTATAGGACATTTTTAGTCGTATACCGGAATAATCTAGTGTCCGCGTCCGTTTAAAAGAGCGTCCGCTTATCGGATAGCATTTAACATTGAAAATCATATGCTGAAATTCGATTCCAGGAAACTTTGCCTGTTAAGGGAGATGTCCGCTTATTGGAGCTGTCCGCAAGGAGAGCTTTCACTGTATTTACAAGTATTTAATGCTAATATTAAATAATGTATGCTTTTTTGTTACTCACAGTGCCAGTAAATCTCCATTTTCTGAAGTGATGAATGAATATGTTGAAGCTGAAAAAGCTGGAAAAGGAGTCGAAGGAAGTCCCGCAGAATGTTGGCCCTACATGAAAGACTGTCCCAAATCCCTTTTTGCGACGAACCATAATCATTACAGGTAAAAACACGCTTTTGATAAGATTTTTTTGTTTTAATTACTTATTTCGAATATTAGCAAAGAAATTGAAGAAAATGAGATACCAGAAGAAGAATTTACAACACAAACTAATAAGAAGCCATCAAATATGTAGTAGTAGGTAATAGAAATGAGCAAAACTGCGATTTTCCAATCGCAATTGAAACTTCGATTGCGATTTTTAAATCGCTGCGACCGTAACCTGCGATTGCGATTTTAATATTTAAATATTGTACTAGGCATTCTACTCAGAGTGTCATTTTCTATCAAATACAGCTAAAAAATACCGAGGGTGCCATTTAAAAATCAAACGTTGTAATAATTTCCGGTGAAACAGGAAGTGATCGAAACCAATTGAATACGTCAATCAATCCTAATTTATGTCACATGCTTACATACCAAATCTGGTTTTTTTATCAGAAAACATAAAAAAGTTATAGAGGCGAATCACTCTTAAACACCCGGTATATTATGATCTTGGCTCTAGAAAAATAATACCTTCTCTATCTACATATATATAAAATGCTAATGTTTATCTGTGTCGTCTCTACTGAAGTAACGACTTGCTCTAGAAAGTTGCTTTTTTACTAAAAGATAGCTAATTGGCTCTTCTAAAAACTGTCGTCGCCGGATTATTTGTTTTTCATTTAATTAATAAATAAAAATAAAAAATATTTCTTTCCTGATGTCGTGGCGGATGCGCCAGGCTTCAACTAGTAAATAAATAAAATCAGGTAATAAAATCAATCACAGTTTACTATAAAATGCTTCAATGGACCACAAAATTACATTTACAACAAAATCGCAAATCGCAAGTACTAAAAGCTCACACTCGCAGATAGAAGGTTATCACGGTCCTAGTTTACAAAATCACATTCGCAACAAAATTGCAAATCGTAGCAAAATCGCAAATCGCCAACTATAGTAATATTGGTCGAACTCGCAAATAGAAGAAATCGCAGTCGCAGTTTCCTATGAGAGCCAATCGCAGGTTGCGATTGCGATTTTAAAATCGCTGCGATTGAATCGCAGTTTGCGATTTGTTGCTCATCTCTAAGTAGGTAACTAGTAAGAAACAAATTGAAACAGATGTGATCTAAACTAAGTCAAAACTTGTGAATATCAAGATGGGGACTTTTTGAGTTTTTAGTATAGAATAACTTAATAATTAGCCATTCTATTATAGTATTGAAATAAAACAATTATTTTGAAGGTAAATATACAGATTTATTCCCGATCAACAGCTTGGTGAGACGAAAATATGTATTATATTGTGTGTACCAAATGTACTATATATTGATAAAACAGGACACACTATATTTATTAATAATTAATAAATTAAATTTGATTAATGTTTATAATTTATTTGCTCAAATGTTTGTATATATTTTTTTAAACTTTATATTTGGCATTAGTACATTAGCAATCCATATTGTAAATATATTGAGGATTTGATGTAAATACTATTTTAGATGTAGTAACAATACAAAAATTGATAAAATTTCATATAAAATAATGTTAGGGGACGGAGAACATTAATTTATTATTTAAAAGAAATACATTAATATATATATACATAGTTGAGTATTATTTTGCGTCACTATGAGCCTTGTAGATGTATATAAACAAGTCTATTAATTATTTATCAGTATTCTTCTTGCACACTTTTATCCATGCAATAAATATTTTCCCTTCCCAAAACTTCAAATACAAGTAGTACAGTCCCAGAATATATACAAATTTAACTAATTTTTAAAATGTATGGCAGTTAAATAAAATTCTAGGATAATTTATATACCTACATATTAAGTATTATTCGAAATATATTGCTCCAAATTAAAAAAATAAATTATGATAATAGTAAGAGACTGTTTATATTAATAAAATGTTTTAATCATTATCAACGATCGTCACTTAGCAATGTTTCCTAAAGAGAAATTAAAATGCATAAAACTGCTATTAACTTTGGTAAAGACTAATATATAGTTATAAAATTACATTCTAAAGAGAAGCACTAATATAATATCAATGATAAACGCTACTATATTATATAAAGTAAACAAAGAATTTGTTTTAGTTTTCTATATCTTTCAAGATCATTTAATTCTTCAAAAGCTATTGAATAATTTTTGTACTATTATAAAAAGCAAATATACAAACAATAATACCTTAAAATAAATATCTAATAAATAAAAGTGTATTTGAAAAATGTAGACTTTTCATAATTAGTTAAAAACATTAGGCAAGACAGTATTTTTTAACCAATAATGTTCAGCTATATTTTCAATACAAATTAAAGCTTACCTATCATTTATAAGGCACTGGTTGATATGTGAGATTTCTTCCTTAAAATAAATTTCTGCAATTACTACATTTTGAAACTGACGAGCTTGCACCCAATCTCACAGTATCTTCATCATCCTGATCCAACATGCCATTGTCATGTCTTCTCTATAAACACTCAGATAAATATCTCATAAGAATACCATACCTAAAAACTTACCTTTAATTCAGTTGCCAGACACATAAATGCCTCTTCAATATTTGAATTATCTTTTGCACTGGCCTCTAAAACAAACAATACTTCTGGCATGTACTGACTTAGGGCTTCTGCTTCCTCAAATTCAACTTCTCTGCAGCTTTCCAGGTCTGCTTTGTTACCTACTAAAGCTAATAACACAGCATTTCCAGAATATCTACGTACCTCTTCAACCCATCTAAAATAATTTATTTAATCAGTACATACTGTAAAATCAGAAAGACAATGATCTACCTGGCAACTGAAAGAAATGAGGATCTTTTACTAATATCATACACAATGATAACACCGTTTGCTGACCTGTAATAGCTCTGAGTAATTGTTCGAAAGCGTTCCTGACCAGCTGTATCCCAAATCTGAAGCTACAAAATTAACAGATTATATATTCGTCTATTTTACTTATATAAACGTAAATAAATACCTTAACTTTTTTACCATCTACCATAACAGTCTTCATGGAAAAATCCACCCCAATAGTATTCCCGTGCTTTTCTATGAAAGTACCATTTTTAAACCTTTGTACGACGCACGTTTTTCCCGTGCCACAATCACCAATCAACACAATCTTAAATAAAAAATCGAAAGACTCTTCTGTAGGGATAGTCATTAAAGTAGTTGGATTTCGAATACTCATCTTGAATTTGTTTTATTATTTAAATCTTTACAAAAAAATATTTACATTCTAAAATTAGGTTAATAAAAATAAAACGTCAAAAAAGTCAAAAATACAGAGTTGCCAACACTGGAAGTTGAATACACACGCTATTTTATTTCTGTATTTGTGTTTTGTGACTCCATAGTTTTGTCACAAAATAGAAATCAACTTGATTTCTATTTTGTGGTTTTGTGATTTATTCTTATCTGCTTCTTTATTGAGAAGTGTCTATCGGGACAGTGCCTTCTATTAAAAGATCAGCCTGCGGGCAAAGAATAGATAAGACAAGAGACGACAGTGAACAAAGAAGTCCAATTTCGCGAGAGAGACGCAGATATATTAAAATTTAAAGGTCCCATCAAGTCCCATTTTCTCTGTTGCCAAGTATATTTCTTTGAAAAATAAACAAGATTTTCTGAAAATAAATTGATAATACAAGAAGAATATAAGTAACGTATGTTAATACGGAAATGTAAATTTTTAGTTTAGGTTGGTTTAGGTTCTTTTTTCGTAATGTACTGATAATATCAAAGAAACAGAATGACTGAGTGCAGAATGAATGAAAGTTGATCGATTTCAAAGATAAACGATAAAATCTGACAACGGCGTATTTTATTTATTCTAACCCATGGTACAAAGAATACAAGCACAGAATATCTAGCTACGCAACAGAAGCCTCGTTACATGTATAAAATTGTAGGTCTCAAAAGGAGACAGGCTTTAAAAGCCTGTCTCCAAATCAGATATTTTGATGCGGTAGTTTCACTACTACATAACAGAGGGCGATAAATTTAAAAGAAAACAGTTTTCTACAAACGAAATTCA